CTTCCCAGCTGGCTCACTCTCGTCACTTAGTCCAGGAAGCCCACTGCATGCCTGAGGGCTCCTGAGCTCCCACTCTTGCTTCCTTAGGCCATGTGCTTCCACTACCTGGCATCTGCACATAACAATAAACAAAACCAAATCCATTGCCATAGACTTGATTCCACTTCATGGCAACCCTATGAGACAGAGTAGAATGCACTGCAAATCTTTACAGAAGCAGACTGCCGTGTCTTTCTCCCAAGGAGCAGCTGGTGTGTTTGAACCTCTGACCTTCTGGTTAGCAGTCAAATGCCTTCACCACTATGCACCAGGACTCCTGAGCACCTGTACCCTATAATATAATTCTGTTTTATTCTCTATGAAGGTAGGGCCTTTTCCATTCTGTTCATTTCTATACATCCCAGAGTAGTGCAGTTTTGGCTATGTAATTGTTACTCAATACATCTCTTGAGTAAATTAATAGTAATAAGAACTCACTGCCGTTGAGTCAGATCTGACTCATAGTGACCCCTCCTTGGGTTTTGGAGGTGGTATCTCTATGGAAGTATATTGCCCAGTCTTCCAAGGGGTGATTTGAACCTCTAGCCTTCTGGTTGGTAGTCAAATGCCTTAGGCACTATGCCACCAGAGCTCCCAATAGTAATAATAGCAACTACTATTTATTGAGTTATCTCTGGAAAAACCTTAGGAGAGATTGGTACAGATCTATTTTATGGATGAGGAACCTAAGGCCCAAAGAGGTTCAATAACGTGTGCAAAGTTGCTTGGAGCAGGAGGAAGAGTAGGGCCAGTGTAATGATCCAGGGTGGCTGGACTCTCAGCCTTCCTAATCACAGGATCCTACTTGTCCACATTTCCTTCCATGCTACCCAGGATGGGGCAAAGGGCAGGTCCTTAACAAACCCTTGGGAGACTGATGACAGGATGATTAAAGAGATTTTCCGAAGCAGGAGCTGCGTCTAATTTTGGAGCGTGGCACCTCATGTGTGGCCAGGGAAAGAGGACCTGTGAGGCATCCAAGCTCCCTGGATGTGGGGCCATCTCATTCGGAAGAAGAGTCTGGCTTCTGACAAGCCAGAGGACAGGTCTTCCCTGCCTGAAAGGCTCCGGCCACACCTAGGAAAAGGCCACACCCTCTGACCCGTGGCCAGGACTCCAACCTCATCTCCTGCACACTCCCCTCACTCACTCTGTCCCTGCTACGCAGCCTCTTGCTGTTCCTAAAACACACCTGTCATAGATTGAATTGTGTCCCCAACAAAATGTGTGCCAACTTGGCTGGGCCATGATTCCCAGTATTACGTGGTTGTCCGTTTTGTGATCTGATGTAATTATTCTCCATTTTATGATGTGTTGTAAATCCTGACCTCTATGTGTTCATAATCCAAGAATAGGTTATATTAGTGAGGATTAGGTTATTTTTTTTATATTAATGAGGCAGGATTAGGGTGGGATGCAACACCCTACTCAAGTCACAGCCCTGATCTGATGATGTTAAGGGGAGTTTCCCTGGGATGTGGCCTGCACCACCTTTTTATCTTACAGGAGATAAAGGAAGAGAGAAGCCAGCAGAGAAGGAGGGACCTCAGAACCACCAAGAAAGAAGAGCCAGGAGTGGAGCATGTCCTTTGGACCCAGGGTCCCTGCGCTGAGAACCTCCTAGACTTGGGAAGATTGTTGCCAAGACACATGGAGATCTCCAAGGAACACCAGGCCATAGATGTTGAAGGGAGGAGAAAAGGACTTTCCTCTAGAGCTGACAGAGAGGAAGCCTTCCCCTACAGGCAGCACCCTGCATTCAGACTGCTAGCCTCCAAAACTGTGAGAGAATAAACTTCTGTTTGCTCAAGTCTTCCATTGTGGTATTTCAGTTATGTTGTTGTTGTTGTTGTTGTTTGCCGTTGAGTCGGCCCTGACTCATAGCGACCCCTCCTTGGGTTTCCGAGGCAGTATCACTACGGAAGTAGATTGCCCAACCTTCCTTCCGAGGAGTGGCTGGTGGGTTTGAACCGCCAGCCTTCTGGTGAGCAGTCAAGTGCCTTAGGCACTATGCTACCAGAGCTCCTATTTCAGTTATAGCAGCAGTAAATAACTAAGACAGTGCCGACCCCACTCCTGCCTTGGGCCTTTTCCTCTGCCTGGAAGCCCCTTCTCTCTGTTCCTCCCCATCCTGCTTCTCAGACCACCCCACCTAAAACACCACCCCTCACTCTCTGTTACTTGTTTTGTAGCACTAGCAGCTTCTGGAAGGTTCATATGTGTTTGTTTTCCTGTTGATTCCTGTCTTCCCAACTCCACAGGAAGCTCCTTGGGGACCTTGTCTTTTTTACTGCCCTGGCCCCTAGGACTCGCTATAGAACAGTGGCCAGCACATAGTGGGTGCTCTGCAAATACTGGTTGCATGAGTGAATGAATAGGTTTTCTTCCTTTTAGACATATTGGGAGGTCAGCCACTAGCTTCCCATGCTCACCTTGTCCCAGACATGTGTGTCCCTGTGACTCCTATCCAGGCCTCCAACATACACACACACACACACACACACACACACTCCTTGATTTGGACAGCGGAAGGAAGGAAGAGACCTAACCTTCAGCCTGCCATGTACCACTTAGCATCAGTAACAAGCCTCATAAGCACTCAAGGGTTATCTCTATGTTGTAGCCGGGAAACTGAGGCTTGGTCTCTGTTGCATCTCCAGTGCCTAGCGCAGTTCTAACACATATCTGCTAAGTTGAATTGCACTGAATTGGAGAGATTCAGAGGAGTTCTGGTGGTGCAACAGTTAAGTGCTTGGTTGCTAATTGAAAGGTCAGCATTTCAAACCCAACAGCTGCGCCATGGGAGAAAGATGTGGCAGTCTGCTTCCATAAAGATTACCCATTGCCATGGGGTCAATTCTGACTCATAGGGACCTTATAGCACAGAGTACCCTATAGGGTCCCTATGAGTCAGAAATGACTCCATGGCCATGGGGTTTTTTGAAGAGGTTCAGCAAAGGGCTCAAGGTCACTGGCCTAGGGAATGGTGGAGCCAGAATTTGTCTTCAGTGCTTTTGTACTGCATGGTGTAGCCATCACGGACACCCATGGAGACTCTAGGAACATAACCTCAGTGACATCCAGGCATACTCGAGGATGGGCCTTCTCCCACACACCCACCAACTGGCAACCCAGACTCACACCCGTCCTGCACTGGAGGGGCCACAGCTTGAGCACACCCTCCACCCCGGGCTGCCTAATGCCCCTGCTGCCGCCACCCCACCCCACCCAGCCCACTCCTAGACTGCCCACTTCCTGCCTTCTCATAAAGAGAGAAGGCTAGTGACAAATACACTACAAATGCTTTTGGATGCCAACTGAGATCTTTTTTTAATTAGCCCCAGCTTTGTCTGTGTCCGCTTCTCTTTGCATTCTCATTGCTCATTAGGAAGACTGCAGGATTCTTCTGAGCTGGAAGGGACATTAGTGACCACTTGAAGTGGGCCAGCAAACTTTTTGTGGGAGAGGCCAGATAATAAATATTTTAAGCTTTGAGGGCCAACAGGGAAAATCAAGGATATCATGTCAATATTTGCATGTGTGACAAAACATTGTTCTCCCTTTGACTTCTTTTTTCAATCATTAGAAATGTAAACACCACTCATAGCTTGCAGATTGCAAAAACAGACGGCAGGCTGGATTTAGCCTGGTGTTTAGAGTTTGCTAGCCCCTGACTTAAATCGGGTTGTTTTAAACTTGAACGTGCATAGAATTCACCTGTCAAGCTTGTTGAAAGATTCCTGGCCCACCCCTCTCCTGGTTCAGTGGGTCTGGGTTGGGGCCTTGAATTTGCATTTCGAACAGGTGAACAGGTGATGCTGGTGCTGCCTGTCTACCAACCCCGTTTTGAGTCATGTTCAAAGCCCCCCATCCTATGGATGAGGAAGTTGAGGCCCACATAAGTGATATGTCCAAAGTTACAGCCTGTGAACAAAGTAATGATATCCACTCTGCCACAGAGCTGTCATAGCAAAGGGCCTGCTTCCTTAACCCACCGGGCAGACTCATGCCTCTGAGTCTTTGTACACACTCCTCTCTCCCCCTCAACTCTCCCCCACTCCCACTCTAACAAATGCAATTGCCCACCGAGATCCAGCTCAGATGTCACCTCCTGTAACACGTTCCCTGACTCTTCAAATCCACCTGCTCCTTTTTCAAGGATCGCCCAGCACTGTGCACGTACTTGAATATAACCGTTTCTCTCCATGCTATGTGTGAAGCCAGGGAATGGATCTTATTCCTTTTTATAGCTAACCCTTCGTACCAAAGAAACCAACCAATCCACTACCATAGAGTCGATTCTGACTCATAGGGACCCTATAAGACACAGAAGAACTGCCCTATAGGGTTTCCAAGCCTGAAATCTTTACAGAAACAGATTGCCACATCTCCTGCAGAGCGGCTGGTGGGTTCAAACCGCTGACCTTTTTGGTTAGCAGCCAAGTGCTTCAATCACTGGGCCACCAGGGCTCTTTGGCCTGTGTACAATGCCTGGCACATAGGGGATGCTCCATAAGTGTGCACTGAATGAAAGGGAGGAAGGAAGAAGGGAGAGAGGGGGAGGAAGGAGGGAAGAAATGAGGGCCAGGAGGACGGATGAATGAATGAAAACTCTTTGTGATCTATTGCTTGAAAAAACTTCGCATGGCAAAGTTGAGACTTGACCCGAATTCTAGCGCAAGCTTGAGTGTATTCCGTGGCTGGTTGTGTGCTCTGCCTGTGAGCAGTGCCACTTACGTTGTACCGAGTGTGTTTTCTAGGCCAGCCTTTGTGCTAAGCACTCCTGAGATCCTCGCTAACCTCTTGTTGGCCCACCTTTGCTAACAAGACAGTGAGTGCTTAGAGGAGCAAAGCAGCCAGTCCCCCTGCTTCTGTGCCACCCTGCCTCTCCCCTTCCGGCCCTCCATCAGGGCCCTCACCCATTGCCCATCCCAGTTCTGCAGTCCCCATGCTGGGCTCACCTCCATCAGCGTAGGTCTCTGTGCCGTAGCCATCCTGCAGGCCACTGTTCCAGGTGCCTTCATACTTGGCACCGCTGCTGGTGCTCTGCCGAGTGCCGTAGCGTCCCTTGAAGCCGTGTGTCCACTCGCCCTTGTAGAGCCAGCGCCCCTTGGTCTCTATGCCCAGCCCGTGTCGCTTGCCCTGGCTCCAGTACCCCTCAAAGGTGTTCCCGCTGGGCCAGGTGTAGACGCCTGCCACCTCAAAGCCAAAGTTCCAGGAGCCTGAGTACTCGCCCTGGCCCTTGGGGCCCGTGCACAGCCCATGCCCGTGGGCCTTACCCCCCTCCCAGCCCCCACAATACGCCCCACCATCGTCAAAGTCAAAGCGGCCCCCGCTCATCTCATCATAGCCCCCAATCACCTCCCGATCCTCCAGCTTGGGTGGCGAGGGTGGCTGGGGTGCCAGCGACACTCTCCAGGTGTGCTTGGGGCTGGGCCCCCAAACTCACCACCGTGCCCTAGGAGGGGGACAGCGAGCCACCAGCAGAGGCTGAGAGAACCCAGGAGCCAAGTCAGCACTGGGCCAGCTGGTCAGTGCCATGCCTGAGAGCCCCCCCCAATGAGCCAGAGGCAAGCGGCCAGCTGGGAAGGAAGCAGGAAGGAAAGATTCAAAATCCCCCAAGCGTCCCAAGTCAGGCTTCCGTGGAGTGAAAGGAAAAACGATGTGATCCCTTTAAGAAGCACAGTAAAAGGGGTGAGGTTGAGGGGCCCCAGTCCGGTTCAAAGAAGGGAATCCCCCTGGGTGACAGCCCCCAGCCTGAGGCTGAATTCCCGGCCGCTGGCCCCCTTCTCCTCCACCCAGTGGGCGTGTGGGGCTGTCGATCTCCTAGTGGCTGCCCCGCCCCTTCTCCAGTCCTGCCCTCCTCCTCAGACAGAAAGGTCAGCATTGCCCTAACAAGGCCAGAGCATTTCAGAAGCTGCTCCTAAAATAACCCCCTGGCCAGGCCAGCCTCCTTCAGAGAGGGAGGGGGTGTTTCAAAGGGAGCCGGGGCTTCAGGCCCAGGGAGTGGCTTGAGGGACGTGGAAGGGAAGCTAGAAACCAAGTGTAGGCAGCCTGGCAATCCTGGTGTCTATTCTTCGCAGGGGTAAGAGTTCCTTCCACCCACCCTTGGAGTCCCCTGAGTCTAAGGGGAGGGAGGAAGCAGAAGGGAAGAGGGAGGGGAGAGACAGACTAGCAGGACACCCAGTCCTGGGACACTCCAAATCCCCCAGAGCGTGGAGGTTGGCAGCTCTCAGCCCACCACCACTCACATGCCACGACAGGACTCGGGGCTACAGCACTCTGCCAACCCCACGGAGGAATCCAGTGACCTAGAGGGAAAGGAACGAGGATGGCTGCCCATGGACTTTGGAAAGCAGAGGAGGGAACTGGGAAAGTAAGAACGCTCTGGACACAGCCTGGGAGACCCTTATGGTAGCTGAGGCCAGGCCTCACGCGCAGCCCCCAATTCTCCTCCCCCAGGGCCCCTGGGAAGAGCCCAGTGCAACAATCACCGCTGGCTGCCTTTCTCTCTCCTCCAGAAGGTAGACACCTCCTCTGACTGACCTGACGGGAGAGGGTGGGGAATTGTGTTGGAACGAGATCATCTCAGAACTCCATGAGGATCATGATTTTTTTGTTTTCCTTTTCCAAGCCCTGGTGTCCTATGAGCCTGTGGGGCTGCCATCAGAAAGCTGTTGGGGCAGAGTCAAAAGCAAAGGGCCTGGGTGGATCCCCAGCACCTAGGTTGCACAGAACTCCAGCAAAAGGGACAAATAAACCTCCGTGACATGATGCTGTGGCCAGGACTGATGGCTGGAAATCCCAACTAAGCCCGGGGTTAACAGGAGTAGAGTGTAATTCTGGGAAAGGTAAGGAATACCAAGAACAGGAAGCTGAGGGAGGGAGGATGTGTATACGTGTGCGTGTGTGCATGCACATGCACACGTGTGCATGCATCATGAGTGGTGCTGGGGGAATGGGAAGACCAGAGAGAAATTACCAGAAAGTGAGCACAGAAGGCACTTGGGAACATTAGACTATTCTCTGACTTCACCTTATAGGAAGTATTCCAAATCTCACCATGACTTAGGCCACTTTAAGTCATCATGGAAGTTTCTCTTGTTTCAGGAAGGGGTAGAAAATGTCCTCTCCCTTCATCCAGGCTGATGACCACTTCATAGGACTTGATTCCTTCACTGTTCACAACCCCCTGCCTTAAAGTCTCCAGCTTTTGTTACCAGGTAGAAAGCTTAATCTCAAGCCTACAATCAATGGCTGTTTGCCAAGCTGACAGGCAGCAAATAGCAGCTGAGGAAGGCTGTACTGTACCATGAGGGTAGTGTGAGTCACCACCGGGCCGGGTTGACTGACTGACCAACTGTGCCTGTTGGCACGGTTCACTTCTAAGAACACCTTAACACTGACTTCAGAGTTCTGCTTTGCCACTCTTCCAGGTGGAGGAAGAAATGGGAATTGTCAACAATTTCATTCTACTTGAGTCAACAATCAGTGTCCTTGGAAGCAGCAGTCAAGGAATCCAATAGCATATTGCATGAGGCAAATCTCCAAACGACCTCTTTAAAGTTTTAAAAAGCAAAGATGATTTTGATGCCTAAAGTGCATCTACTCAAGCTGTGATCTTTGCAATCATTTCAAATGCATGTGAAGCCTGGACGATGAAAAAGGAAGACAGAAGAGTCATTGATACATTTGAATTGTGGTGTTGCAGAAGAATGCTGAACGTACTGTGGACTGCCAGACGAATGAACAGATCAGTCTTAGAAGAAATACAACCACAGTGTTCCTAGGAGTAAGGGTGGCTAGGCTTTGACTTGCTCTTTTCGGACACATCAGTAAGAAAGGGGAGCTCTGGTAGCATAGTGGCTAAAAGCACTTGACTGCTCACCAGAAGGCTGGCGGTTCAAACCCACCAGCCACTCCTCGGAAGGAAGGTTGGGCAATCCTACTTCCGTAGTGATGCTGCCTCGGAAACCCAAGGAGGGGTCGCTATGAGTCGGGGCCGACTTGACGGCACATAACAACAACAACAACAACAGTAAGAAAGAGTGGTCCCTGAAGGAGGGCAGCATGGTTGGTAAAGGGGAGTTTCAGTGAAAACGAGGAAAATCCTCCATGAAGCGTATTGACACAGTAGCCACACAACGGACTCAAACATTCCAGCAATAATGAAAATGGCTCAAGACTGGCAACGTTTTTGTGTTTACACATAAGTTCGCCCCAAGTTGGAGTCGGCTTGATGACAACTAACAACAACTCCTGTAGGTCTTCAGAGATTTACAGGTTTCCTTTCAGCTTTGCACTCAGGGGAGAGGGGACTGCATCTCAACCTGGAAGCCAGAAGCTTTGAAGCGGCCTGAGTTCGATACCCTTTGTAGTTAAATGCTGGCAAGTCACCAAAATCCTGTTTGTTCTTAGGCTAGATGGCTGCTGTGTCCCAGCAAACTGCTCTGCCTACATAGATCGAGATACTTTCAATGATAGAAGCCCCCCGTGGTCATCCCTATCAGTGGTAGATACACATTAGAGTCACCCATAGAACTTTAAAAAAGGACCCAGAGCCCCAGATTGTCCGGAAAGAACTTGGGCAGGTGCGTTTTAAAAAAAATTCCTCAGGTGAATCTAATTCTCATCCCTAGTTAAGAACGGCTTCAAGTCTTCAAATGAAAAATCTGTTTCTTAACATGGACAAATTCATAAATCCATCCACTATAGGCTGAATAGGGTACGTAGTGTTGAAGTTAGATATGTGTTCAAATCCTGATTCTGCCCCTGATGAGTTGTATGACCTTGGACCCAGTGTTACTTTCTCTAAGCTGTGGACAGTTTCTTCACCTGCACAATCACAGGCAGAAGAAAGAGTGCCTCCCTCAAAGCAGGGCTCTGAAGAACCGGTTCATTCCAGTTCAGCCCCCTGCTGAAATGTGCATTTCCACCCCAGACAGACTGAATCAGAATTTGTAGTTTAACTGGATCCCCATGTGATTCTTATGGACACATACGATCTGTAGGATCACCACGGGATGTGGTGGAGCTGCAGATGTGATTCAGTCTGTCTGAGGTGGAGAGACACATGAATTCCCACCACGGGTCAAGCCGGAAGGAACCAATTCAAAGCCCTGCCTCAGAGGATTATTAGTATTAAGAAGAATAGTATCTACCTTATAGGGCTAGGTGAGGATAACACGAGAATACTGGAAAAAGGCTTAGAACACAAAAACACCTAGTAAATGTTAGCTATTATTATTCTCAAGGAGCTCTTGTGGTGCAGAGGTTAAAACATTTGGCTGCTAACCAGAAGGTCAGCGGTTCAATCCCACCAGCTGCTCCAGGGGATAACGATGAGGCAGTCTGCTTCCATAAAGATTGACAGCCTTGGAAAGCCAAAGGGGCAATTCTACTCTGTCCTACAGTGTTGCTGTGAGTTGCATTCAACTCAATGGCTGTTGGTTTGCTTTGTTTCATTATTATTATAGTCAGATGATAAAGGGCTTTTCAGACTGTGGTGGCGTAATGCCTGAGGCATTTGACAGCCACTCCACGGAAGGAAGTCTGGGCAATCTACTTCAGTAGAGACACCACCTTGGAAACCCAAGGAAGGGTCACTGTGAGTCTGAAATTGATTCGACAGCAGTGAGTTTGGTTTTTTTGGTTTTATGCCTAATGAAATAGTCACCGAAGAGGAAAGAGAACATCCCTCAATACAAAATATCTTGATACTGAAGCATTCCTTACTCTCCCCATACAGGCAGACCTCGGAGATACTGCGGGTTTGGTTTCAGACCACTACAATAAAGCAAGTGTCACAATAAAGTGAGTCAAATGAATTTGTCTCTCACCCAGTGCATATGTTTACACTATACTGTAGTCTATTAAGGAGCTCTGGTGGCATAGTGCCTAAAGCACTTGACTGCTAACCAGAAGGCTGGAGGTTCAAACCCACCAGCCACTCCTCGGGAGGAAGGTTGGGCAATCTACTTCTGTAGTGATACCGCCTTGGAAACCCAAGGAGGGGTTGTGATGAGTCAGGTCCGACTCCACGGCAGTGGTTGCGTTGGTTGGTTGTACTCTATTAAGTGTGCAACAGCATTACGACAAAGTTTAAAATACTGTGAGAATGACCAACGTGGGATGGAGACAGGAAGTGAGCACCTGCTGTTGGAAAAATGGCCGCCATAGGCTTGCTTGATACACAGGATCTGCAAAGCACAATAAAGCAAGGGGTGTCTGTCCACATTGACATTATTACCCTGAGGTCTCTCATTTCTTAAACTGCTAAACTGAGTTACTGGTAAAGGGCCACTTCCACTTAAAAGTTTAATTAAATTCTTTACCAGTTTTGGTGCTGGCCTTATGTGAGCAGCGTAAGCTTTTTGACAAGCCATCACTTCTTTGTTCTTCCTTTTAAACTAGTGCATTTAGTTCAGAAAACAAGAAAAAGATAAAGGGAGACCCCTTGTGGCCATATATGTATTAGAATAGATTTCCCTTAGGAAAAAACTTCAGACCAAATGGAATTTACTAAATTTAAAATGAATTTTAAACTGTTTTTTTAAAGGTAGCTATTCTGTTCTCTAAGGCTCTCTGGTGGCATAATGCCTAAGGCATTTGATTGCTAGCTAACCAGAAGGTCGGCGGTTCAAACCCACCAGCTACTCCTTGGAAGGAAGACTGGGCAATCTACTTCTGTAGAGATACCACCTCAGAAACCCAAAGGGGGTTGCTAAGTCGGAATTGACTCAATGGCAGTGGGTTTCTTTCTTTCTTTTTTTTTTTTTAAATCCTATTCTCTCTCGTTTCCAGTTCTTTTCTTACTCACATTTCTTTCTATTCTTTGGCCAATCACTTCCTCCCTTTATTTCCTTCCCAACTTCCCAAGCTTGGCTGCTTCTGGGGGAGCATGGAGCAGGGGAACAGAAAATCTGGGCACACAGGAACCACCCGCTTTCTTCCCATCTACTGAAGACAGCTGAAGAAGCCTCAGCTCCCCAGGAAGCCTTTTCAGACAACGGTTTCCCACTCGGGTTAGGTTCCTTCCCACATGCTTCCTGAACTTTATCAGTTTATTCCATTTTTAAAAAATGATTGCCAATATGGGGCTCCTCCCCTAAGTAGGAGCTGTTTGAAGCAAGGGCGGCTGCCTTCATTCTAATAATAATAATAAAGCATAAACACCTGCTAGGTGTCTGGCACTCTGGCTCACCTTG